TGTGGAACCTGAGGTGTTACGTGCGCTCGTGCCCTCTGCAGGCTTCGTGCACCTTGGAGGTCAATGTAGGAGAAAAAGATTGCTACTGGCATTTGAGACGGGCAGCCAGCTTTTGGATGCCTGTTGTTCATGATGGGTTGGGGCATGATTTGTTGTTCGGTCCGACTAGATACTCCGATAGATCATGTGAGCATCTGCGTTTACAACCTGGTTTAGCCGTTTAGCCAATGCATCTCGGGCAACCTTCCCCTCAGCACCTAGTGACGGAGTGGTTTGTCGTAGCTTGGAGCAAAGCCATGTTGAACTCGGCCTACACGCTTGTGCAGTGATGATGGATGGGTCGGCAGCTGACCGTCAATATCATGTTCTGATCGTCGTTCGCCGTTCGACCCAGGTTCTTGAGCATGACATCATTGAAAAGCACCGCCAAGCTACAACTGCTTGATGCTCCACCACTGACTTGGGGAGTGCCCTTCAGAGACGCTCAAGCGAATTCTGAGCGCTTTTGGATTTGAAGGTCGTTTGAAGGTGTAGGGTAGGGATGGCGGTCATTCAGACCATTCGACTGCAATTTGCCAGGCACCATGCTCTTGAAAGGCTGCAATCGGATCGGTGGTAGTCGCAGAAGTCAGTGCGGCCTCTGTTGGACAAACTTCATAACGAACAAGAATCAAGGAACATTGACGCCCTCACAAAGGCTCGCCCCCTTGTCTACAGCATGTTTACCTTTTGTCAGCATGGGACACACGAGCATACATCAGCACACGAGCATGGGTTGACACAGTCATTGCACCTGGCTGCAAGTAATGTCAAATCTGAGGAAGTGGGGCGCTTTTTTCCGGATGCCGTGGTGTGCCACATGCCAAGAGTGCAAGGAACATAGCCACAAAGATTGGACAAGGAACATAGCCACATGATTGCAAAGCTGGCAACATCTCCGACCTAATTTTCTGAATCCATGACTTCCAACATGAAGAGGACCTCCGGCATTCTTAGTTGCTGAGGTGGCGTCAAGCGTCCTGATGGAGTCACCGAGGGCATAATACCTCAAGGAGGCTATGCCATTGAGGCTCATTTCTGCAACTTTAAGTTTGACCTTGCACCTTTTACGAACCTGACCGGCTCTAACCGTTGCAGCTCAATGGATGCGATCTATATTTGTATATATATATATATACAGGCTGATTCGTGACATGTTGTTGAGCAACTAGTACCGGTGCTTCCCAATTGGCTGAACACCGATGTTGGACATGCACGTGGTGACACGGCCTCTGAGCATCAGGCAAACGATCAATTGGTACTACTTGCGCGGAATGCTGAACATGCCCAGCACCTTTGATAACAAACGCCTGGATTTCTCTTGGGCTTCAATTTAGATGCTCCTTGCGCAGCTCGACGATGCCAAACCAAGGCGTTGCATTATGCCCATCCGCGAGGAGGGCGTTGTGCCCATCGGTGACTGCAGTGGCTATTTGGTGGACTCCATGGCTCCGCTCCCAGACACCTCCGAATGATGCCAGCTTTCAGCAACAGTTGCATACCCTATCAATCAAGCAGTTGCATTCCCTTTTCTACTGTAAATCAATCTCATTGTTTGACAGGGGGATTGCCTGAGTGACACTGGAGGTGAACTCCATTTGAGCTATGGCTCCACTCAGTCCACCTTGTGGAAGTGCCCTGTGTGCCTGGCAGGTAAAGAGCGACGGACAACTCCGGTTGGGGCCGTCAGCTGATGGACCCAAAGTGGTCCTTGTGCATCTCGGCTTGTTTGCGCTCTCTGTGTGTGTTTTGTGAGACTTCGTGACGTGGCCCAAGACTGACATAGATGCTATTGTTGTTGCTGGATGAAGGTTGGGGCTGAGTCTTTAGATGTCCTTGGAATTCCATTAGTTGGCTATGTTGGGCAAAGACAAGACCTTTGGATGCCTAGGGCCAAGCAGTGATGCAAAAAAAAAAAGGAATCTAGGTAGTCCACGACCTTCAGGGCTTCACGTTCTAAATGACAAGCTCCTGGACATTGAGGTTGGGTTGCCCCGGTGACATAGCTGAAATCCTGGACAGCATCGTGGGGTGCCTCAGAATGTGTTGACCTACGGTTGCACGGTTGCACCACATCTACTTCGTTTGCCCTCGTAATAGGGGGACCAAGGTGAGCAGGGCAAAAAGAGTCAAATGTCAGAAATCTTACACCACCACCTGGAGAGCAGTAACACCAACAGTGAATGAGGGGGCAGGGGGTTGCTATTTGACCCACCCTGTGGGGTGCACTGGTGGTGCAGGATTTTGCTCATCAAGAAACATGTGAGGTTATAAGGATGTTGCCTCCATTTCTCACATCTTGCTCCAGGATATGCACCTGGCATCTGAGAGCCATGTGCATATTTTATCCAGGACGAGAGCGGGGTGGTTCCAATGGTGTGTGCTTTCTATTTCCATTGCTTCGCGAGTTTCTTTTTTGTCATCGCCAACAGGCATTGATTCTGTTGCCATCCTCCCATCTCCATGGCAAGTTGCGTTGTAGTTGGAAGAGCTTGAGCTAAAGCCGGGATGCATATTATGTGATTCCTGACGGGATGCCATCAGCCGCTTTCTTATGTAAACAGCTTTTGCGTTTGATAGGACGCCTGCGACACAGCGCGAAGAGTGGATCCAGCAGCATTTGAACCGTAGCTGAACCACCTTGTCAGCGGTTGTGGCTGTACCTTCTGAAAGACTTGCGAAGCATCAAAGAACACGGCGCTTAGCATCTTCAACACCCGCATGCCATTTTTGGAGGTTTTATGATGTACAATGTATATAGGTATTGGTGGGTCTTCAAAGCTGGTGGTTGAAACCAGCAAGTCAGCTCCTGTACATACTCAATGCGGATTTTCATCCAGGACCCATCTCACGTTTACATGTGATCTGGATCAAGCACCTTCGTCCTCGCTCGTGAAGAAACAATCTGAGCGGTTTGTGGAGGTGGAGTCACTGTGAGCTTCGCATGGTAGCGGAGCCTGACCGAGAGAAAGATCTCGGTTGGGCATTCTTATTTTCCAGGGAGTCTCTAGCTAGCTGCAGCCATGGCAGAGCTGCGTTTCAACAAGGACGGCGTTCCTATCTATGACGGAACTGCTGAACTATATGTGCCATATCGGCGAGCGGCCTTGAACTATGTGGAAACGCTGGAATGGAAGAAAAGGAGCCTCGCAGGCCCGCGCCTGCAAGCTGCTCTTGAGGGATCTGCGAGAGTTGCCGTGCAACACCAGACGCCAGGCTGGATTAGTCATCACGAAGGTGCAATGCAGCTCCTGAATTTTCTCACGGCCAAGCTACAAGCTCCGACCTTGGCAGAAGCCGGGAAATCCATCTCCAGGTTCTTCTACAGTGTCAAGCGCCGCAAGGGCGAAAGCATGAATGAATGGCTCATTCGGCATGATGAATCGCTCTTCGATGCTCGCAGAACATTGGCTGAGGCAATCCATGAGTATGGTGCTGGGGAAGCCCCTACTCGACGGAATTTGTCCTCAACAAAGTCTGCAGCACCATCACAGACTCCATCTCAGTATGAGCGTGAAGAAGATGAACATGATGTCACAGGCCTTTCTGACCATGGGCCCTTCAGAGATGATGGTCGAATGGACGATGGTTTTTCCTCCTCTCGCCCAGCTCCCTCCTCTCGACCAGCTCCATCTCAACACGAAGACCCATGGACCGACTGGCATGAGAAAAAGGCGTGGTCTAAATGGGATTGGGACTCCTCAACTTGGGAGTGGTCCAATTGGCAGTCACATCACGCTGCCGATACATGGGGCAAACCAAG